AGAAATTCTACTGGATGGTGCTGGTCTAAAGAGTATCAACTATTCTCTGCTGCCTTTGCCTTGCCTACTTCAAGGTCAAAGGTTTTCCATGGCCCATGGCACTCAAAACTCTCTAACATCATTCATTCATCTATTAATTCATTTATTCTGTTCTTAAGAGGCTCTTATATACTGTTCCTATTCTATAATTTGGAGGTCCAAAAATGAGTATTCCTAATCTGTCAGTTGCCCTCATGGAGAATACATCTTCCTGAAGAAGCAGAAATAAGCATATCTAGAAAGAGTGTATACTTCTGAGTTGTAATATGCAGTCTAGACATTTTAGTTGGCTCAGATTAGTTCAAGTGTAGCCATCCCATGTCCTGATTTCTTCTTACTAGAGATGAAATTAGTAGCACCAAAAAAAGGAATCCAAAAAAGATAGCCTTTTTTTCCAAGGACCTAGATATTGAACTTCCCTAAGAACCACATTTTCCAGTCCTAATAATAGGGCAAATAATGTTTAAAAAGCCTTTATTTTTATTTTCTGGTTTTGTGAATATGTTAATGGAAAGAAGTGTGAAAAAGGAATAGGGTTTCATTGAAAAAATGTAAGTGGTTACATAATTCAGGAGATTCTCATAGAACTAGTGAACAGACTGCAACATTGGGTGTGGTTCCTCTCATTGAGCTCAATTTTAAGGGACTGGGAAGGAGGAAAGGAACTGTGTGTTTATTTCCTTCCTGATGCTATGCATTCCAACCTCTACAAACCATATGCTAGATTTTTTTTTTCTTATTTCATTATTTTGAATAGTAAACTCCAGTACCTGTAAAGTATTTTCTCTCATTCACCTATGAGGTGGAGATCGCTGTCCTTTGATAGCCCTTTGGAGATGTTTTGGAAAATAGCAGTGATCATTTTCACAACCATCTCACCTGTGTAATGTCATCAGTTTTGTATATGAAATGCCAGTCTGTGTCTGTGGGTGGAACTATTAAATTATGTCTCTGCAAAGCTGGATTTATTACAATAGCACAGTGTGTTGCAGTTGGAGATATGAATTTTACTCTATCACTGGCTAGGTCTTAGGCCATGGGAATTCTGAGCCTCATTCTTCCAATGTAATGTATGTAATACAAATAACAAATAGCATAAAAATATATGCAACATAAAAATAATAATTGCCTCTCCCAACTATCATGAGTAGGACTGTTAGATTTTACCAAAAAATAAAATAAAATAGGACACACTGTTAAGCTTGAATTTCATGTAAATGTTGAAAACAATTTTAATATAAATATGCCCTATGCAATGTTGGTGACACTTACATTTTAAAAATGTATCATTTATCTGAAATTCAGATTTAACTGAGTATCCTGATAAACCCAGTCATGAGAGTTACTGAAGAGAATTCTCAAAGTAACATGCCAGTGTTTTTCTTTTTCCTTAGATATTAATACATACAGATAATATCCAACTTACAATGGTTCAACTTAAAATTTTCCAACTTTATGATGGTGCAAAAGTGACACATGTCCAGTACAAATCCTCCTTTGGATGTTGAATGTTGATCTTTTCCCACTAATGTATGTGGTAGGAGATGCTCTGGCTGCTGGGCAGTGGCCATGAGCACAGCTCCCAGGCATCCGGTGATCATGAGGGTAAATAACTGGTACTCCACAGGGTGCTATATTGCCAACATTTTTTGGATACTGTTTACAATAAATTACATGAGCTTTTAGCACTTTATTATAATATAGTCTTTGCATGAGATGAGTTTGCCCAGTGGCAGGCTAATTAATGCAAGAGTTCTGAGCACATTGAGGGAGGTGAGGCTAGGCTAAGCAATGATGTTTCGTATGTTAGGTATATTACATACATACATTTTTGACATGCAGTATTTACCAGTATGTAACCCCATTGAAAATCAAGGAGCATCTGTACTAGCCAAATGGTGTCTGTGGCTCAATCCAGGGTTCATGTCCTCATTCTGTTTCTTCTCGCCCATGTGAACACAGACAACTTATTAAATGTCTTAATGTTTCCATTTCCTTATCTTTACATGGGAATAATATTAGAACTGACTGCATACAGTTGTTGTGTAAGTTAAATATAAGATAACAAATGCATGTAATCTGCCTTTTATTTTGTTTATTTTAAAATATATTTGTATTGATTTCAGAGAGGAAGGAAGAGGGAAAGATGGAAATATCAATGATGAGAGAGAATCATTGATTGGCTGCCTCCTGCACTCCCCCTACTGGGGATCGAGACCACAACCCATGCATGTGCCCTGACCATGAATTGAACTGTGACCTCCTGGTTTATAAGTTAATCAATGCTCCACCTCTAAGCCGAGTTGGCTAGGCAGAATCTGCCTTTTACATGGACTATGATTAGTATATCTAATATACTCTCCAGCTTTGGGATTAGCATCTATACTAATAAAAGGGTAATATGCTAATTAGAGCAGATGTCTTCCGAACATCCTTCTGGATAAAGCCACAGTGGCTGTGAGGGCCAAAGGGAGTCAGGCATGATGGTGGCTACAAGGCCCAGGGCTCAGGCAGCCTTGGGCTCAGGCAGCCGTGAGCCCCTGCAGCTGCGAGGCCTGGGGTTCAGGCAGAGGCAGCAGCAGTGAGGGGGTAATGGGGGCGGTGCCTTCCCCTGATTGGCTGGTCGCCTCCAGCAGAGGGAGGCCAGACTGTGGCTTAGGACATCTCCTGAGGGCTCCTAGACTGTGAGAGGGGGCAGGCTGGGCTGAGGAAATCCCCCTGCAGTGCATGAATTTTCGTGCACCGGGCCTCTAGTATATGTATAATAAATTTGTTGAATGGAGAAAGAAAGAAAAAATGAGAGAGGGAAGGAATGAGAGAGAAAGCCCATAGAGGAGGGAAGAGAGAAAGAAAGACCAAAGAGTCATCTAGAGCACCAAGAAGTACTGGAGGAAAACAGGTATTCAGTTAGGAAGAATAACCACACTTTCTGCTCACAAGCAGGTGAACTTGGCTCTAAAAATGATTGGCAGGTGTTTCCCCCCAAAGGAAACTAGCAACAGAGTTGTGTTGTTGTTATTTTTTTTTAAGAAAGAAAGACAAAGCTGCCAGGATCTTACTCAAATAAGTACATTTGGACAAGGATCCATCTCTCGATTTATGTGTGAAAATAATGAAAAGATGTGCAGCACTGACACTTTCAGGAATAAATGTGAAGAGGCTTGATTCATATAATCTCCCAAAGACACCTTCGGGAAGGAGAGCCTATTCAGTAATTAAACCACTTGTCACCCTCCCACACGGGCAGATCTGTGGGGAAGTCACTTCGTCACGTCAGGGACTGTGAGGACTGCTCCCCCAAGGGAGCACTTCGCGTTGGGGAATCCGAAGCTTTGCTTAAAGAGGTCGTTTGCTTCATAGATTCAAAGAGCGATTGCAGCAGTGACAGGTTTTCTTCCTGTAAGACATGTGGCATACCTTTCATTTATTCACATAGCAAGCCAAGCTGGGTTCTCACTGTGTGTAAGTCTACTTTAAATGTTTCAGAATAAGGATTTCAGATACTTTTTTTTTTTCTCAAAACGAAAGGAAGGGGATAGAGACTGGTGCTATTTTTATGTTCCCTGAATCCAGCCATCAGTCCTGCTTGTTTTTTGACATTGTCTTGAGCAGTGGTTCTCAACCTTCCTAATGTCGTGACCCTTTAATACAGTTCCTCATGTTGTGGTGACCCCCAACCATAAAATTATTTTCGTTGCTACTTCATAACTGTAATTCTGCTACTGTTATGAATCGTAATGTAAATATCTGATATGCTATATGTGTTTTCCGATGGCTGTGACCCACTGGTTGAGACTCTAGAGCAGTGATGGCGAACCTATGACACGCGTGTCAGAGGTGACACGCGAACTCATTTTTTTGGTTGATTTTTCTTTGTTAAATGGCACTTAAATATATAAAATAAATATCAAAAATATAAGTCTTTGTTTTACTATGGTTGCAAATATCAAAAAATTTCTATATGTGACATGGCACCAGAGTTAAGTTAGGGTTTTTCAAAATGCTGACGCGCCGAGCTCAAAAGGTTCGCCATCACTGCTCTAGAGGATAAAAGGAGAGGCCTGGCAGGTTAGGGAGGGCACCTATTTGGGAAGTTCTGCAGGGCCTCTACTGAATCCGGTGTTCCTAGCGACAAAACAACCCGTCCAGGCATCTGAGGGGGAGGGGTGTAGAAGCAAATAATAAGAGGATGTGGCATGGAAGAGGGGTTGGTGAACCAGGAAAGGAAAGAAAGGGACAGCAGCCAAAACAAATGACTGGGAGAAAGTTTGCTTTTCTTTCTGAAGAGGAAGTATATGGTAGGCTCACATCTTCAATTTGGTTATGGCACATCACCAATATGTCAGTGAGTGCGCAGCCTATGTGCTTTGTCAGAGATGTGTATTATATTTGAACTTCTCTTTCCACATCCATTTTATAACATAAGGACATATTGGGCAAGACTGGTATTGCCAGGGTGGAGGGGGGATCAGAACATCAGGCCTCGGAGCCAAACAGATCCAAGATCATTGCAAGCTCAAACTTTTTAGTGCCTTGGAAAGTGTACTTGGTCTCTGCCTTCTTGTCTTCATTTTGTAAAAGGATGATTAAAAAGATCAGTAACCACAAAAGGCTATTTTGTAAGTGCTCACCACAGAATCTGACACAAAATAACCCCTGAAATAATGTGAGGTGCTATGAGCACCACCACCATTTAAATGTCTACCAGTTTCCATAGCATCCTTCCCTCCTGTACCTGTAGAGGTGGTATTATATGAATGTACTTTTTTTTTTTTTTTACTATACATTCATTATAAGCTACACATTCAAGCACTTAAATGTATGTGAAACATGTCCTTCTCAACATTGGCAAAAGTTCATCAGAACAATGAAATGTACATTACGGGATTTTCATTAGTATAGATTTTAATTCAAAATTGTAGCATACATGGAAAGCCAAATAAATGTTTACAGAAGCCAGTGATAGTAATAGCTGAGAAATGAAGAAGAAGAAGAAAAAAAGCAGACTGAGAAAAAAAAAAACAAAACCTCTCAATTAGAGATATTGATACAGGATGACTTTAATCCATCATAACCAGAAGGCCCTGTGTTTTCTGATTGTGAAAATGGGTGTGTGCAGACATACATACTTGAGGTTACCCACTCAGAGGGTGCCTACTTTGTAAAACAGCTAGTTCATGTTAGAAAGGAAGTCTGGGGCCCAGGAATAATGCAAAGGATGTGAATCTGTGAGGACATTACAAATTTGAGAGAGAACCTTGCAGTCCAGCTGTTACAGACCAACTTTATGTCAACAAGACCTGCTAAATCATGACCCATTACTACTATCTGCATATCTAATACCTCTCCTCCAGGAACCTCTCTGCCCCTCATGCTGCTCAGAACATGAGCCTCCTTGCTTTGTCTGGGCACTTACATGTGGATTCCTTACCTACACTTACACTCCCAAAAGACTGATGGAATACATAATCGGGTAATGGATAGTACTTGGTAAACCCTGGAAAATATTTGTGGGAGGAAGATAATCTCTCATTAACATTATGAACAGCATTGATCACACAAGTGACAAAGACAAAAATCTGTCTCAATGACAAAGGGGTAGTGGTAGATGCCTTTTTAAAATGCTAGAGATTGTAGGTGTTCATCCTTAGAAGTTAAACATAGATAATTTGTAATCTGCAAAAAGATTTCTGCCTATGGAGGAAGGGGATCAGATACATCACAACATTTCCCTGAATAAGTTAGCTTTACCTTGGTTCCTCAGAGTTTAACCTGGTATATAACCTTGTATAAAACATATACCTGGTATATAACCTTGTAATATTATTACAAAGTCCATGGTAATAATATTAAATCAGTGATTAGGATTAAAGTTGAGTGCAAATTGCATTTGAGGTATTTTTATTCTCTGAAAGTTATAAATCTGAATATTTTAAAGGATTCTCACCCGAGATTTTTTTAGATTATTAATTGATAATTAAATTTTAAAGCATACAGTTGCTTATTGAGCAGTCTACAACTTTTTATAATGCCTAGAGAGCATACGAAGTATTATTTTCTATTCACTTGCATAGAACAAAAGAGCAACTCTATTCCAACATCTCCCTCAGTCAAGCAATGAAAACAATAAGCTTCCTTTGCTTTTCTTTCTGTCAAGGACAAAATTGAATACGCAATCCATTTATATCAGGGAGCTGATGGTATTTATAACCTCAGCTACTTTTAGATTACCTTCATTATAATTTTATCCTCAATTACCCCATATTATATTATGTTTAAAATTCTAAGCAAATGTCTCACTATTTTAAAAGAGGCAGGGCATGTTCTTTATGAATAGCTAAGTAAATGTTTATTATTCGTTTGTGATTGATTTTATGCAATACTCTTGTGTCACTAAATAAATGCAACAGTGACAACATAAAAAGACTGAAAGGGGCAGAGCCATGGCCATCCCCGTGCGGTTTCCATGCTAACAAACAAACTTCTTGTACTGCTGAGATCTCGGGGCTCGCTTGTTACTGCTGCAGGGCCGTCCTGACTAATCAGGAAACAGATCATCGGCCCTCTCTCTGCCCTGGTGCCTGAGAGTCCTGAGCAGAGGGCAGCCAGTAGGTTAATTGAAATTCAGGGACAGCGATTAGCGCCCAGCTCTTGGTGAAGAAGTACTGGCGGGTGGTCTGGAAGCCTAAGTGCTGGTAGAGGGCCAGGGCGGCATGCTGCATCATGCTGGTGGTGAGGACAACTTCTCTGTAGCCCTGGTGTGCTGCAAACTGGAGGACAGTCCTGACCAGGGCCTTCGCTAGCCCCCGGCGCCGGTGCTCCAAGGCCACACTTAAGTGGAGCATCTGCAACTGCTCCTTCCGCGCCGTGGGCTCCTCAGCAGGCAGAGCTCCCACCATGGCCACCACCTGCCCCTCACTCTCAGCCACCCAGAAGCAGGAGCCCGGTTCACTGAGGTAGGATTTGCTGATGTCAGACATGTCTGTATGCAGACTGTTGGCCACAAACTGGCTCCAGGGGTATTGAGCAAGGAACCTCAGGGCGATGAGCAGGGTGAGGCTGGCCACAAGGACCAGGAGCCAGGAACCAGAGACCAGAAACAGGGCGAGGGGCCCCCCAAGCAAGAGCACAAGTGTTCTCGGCAGCTTCAGGAGGTGGCGGAAGGTGCGGGGGACATGCTCATCCATGCCCTGGGAGAGCAAGCCCAGGACCCAGGGGCGGTCGCTCTCCTGGTATTTGCGGATGTGGTAAGGAGCCATGGAAGACCTGTGTGTCTGAGTCTCAAAGTCCACCAGAGAGAAGCCTGGGGAAGAGAGAAGAAGCCATGTGAAAACCCTCATCTTTCCCACCTCCAGGAACAAGAGAGACCCTGCTCAAGGGCTCGTCTTTCTGCTGCTGCTCGAGAAAGTAGGTCACAGTCCCTGGGAGAAGGAATAGGAGCAGAAAGAACTGCGTTTGATCCTGGCTCCATTCCTTTCTAGTGGTGTGACTTTGAACATGTCACCTAACCTCTCTGAGCCTCCGTTTCTTTATCTGTACCACAGAGTAAAATAAAAATATACCTTCTGAGGTTGGTTTGAGAATCTGCTAAAACAATATATACATAGCTCTGGTATATAAAGTACCCTCCCCTCCACGATCTTTCCCTTTTTTCCTGGCTCTCTTTTCAGCTCCAAGTGACACCTGTGCAGCAAAGCATGTGTCCCCTACCATTTGTTCTCTCTGCCAGGGCGCATACTAGTACTTGGCAGGGATCCTATGTCCCAAACACAGCTTTCAGCAAAGGCCCCTTCCCCCTTGATTGCAAATGTCTGGGCTCCTGAGGTGGCATAAGAGCAAACATCAACACTGGCCCTGCCTCGAGTGCCACAGGAGGACTGAGGGCTCCAGTCTACACTCAAAGCACTGTCCTTAAACCCATGTCCACTTACCTGTCACCACAAAAGCCCCCAGGATGTCCAGGATGGCCTCAGCCTGGCTGCTTCTCTCGGCCTCTGATCCACCTCCAGGAAGACTGTGCAGGGCCAGCTCAACCTCTGGAGACCAGACCTTGGACGCTACCTCATTGGCTGGTTCCTGGACATTTGTTTGTTTTGTTTGTCTTATTGGATGTCCTGGTGTGATATTGGATCACAAAACCATACAGGTTTCAAGTGTAAACTCAACAAAACATCATCTGCACCCTGTTGGGTGCCCATCACCCCAAGCAAAGTCTCTTTCTATCCCCATTGATCCCATGTAGCCCATCTCCACCTATCCTCACCTCCCTTTTCCTCAGGCTATTACCATACTGTTGTCTGTGTCTGTGCCTAATCCCTTCACCTTCTTTCATCCAGCCGCCCAACCCTCCTCCTCTCCAACAGTTGTCAAGCTATTACATGTATCCATGCCTCTGGTTCTGTTTCTTTGCCAGTTAATTTTATTCCTTCAGTTTCACATATAAGTGAGATCATATGGTATTTGCCTTTCTCTGACGGGCCCCAACCCCATCAGACCAGCAGGACAGAAATGACAACTGGTTCAGGACTCATGCCAGCCCTTTGGAGAATCCTGGAATAGGCAGCTCCCACGTGTTAATACCCTGCACACATTGGGATTGTGCAGTCTCGCCTATTCTCATCAAGCCACTGGATTTCTCATGCAGAAATATGTTCTCGTTTTGACCATCAAGTGACCGACTGCATGTACAGGGTTTATTTATTTATTTATTTATTATTATTTTTTTTTATGTACAGGGTTTAAATCAAAGATATGTAGAGGACATTAAACTTGTATCAAAGAAACAGTTAACTTGAATACAAGGTCACAGTCAGCAATCAGGTCTACCATCCAATGCTGAGATCAGATACAAGCTTTCAGGACAATTTATTTTCAAAGGTTTATCCCAGTTTCACCAGGCCAGCATGCAGTGCACACATTTGCCAGGTGTATACATCAAACTCAGACTTGATCAGCTCACGCAGCAAATGCTACTGGTCTGCCGGCAGCACATTTAGAAGCATTTGCAGAGGATGATGGAGGGGCCTAACTGGTCATGCCCCTGCTTGCTGATGCACATCTGCTGAAGGTGGACAACAAGGCCATGACGGAGCCACCAGTCTATATCCAGAACTTGCACTCTGGCGGTGGCCATGGCCTGCTGGAAGTCCCGGGCAACATAGCACAACTTCTCCCTGATGTCACACACGATTTCCTGCTCACGGTGGTGGTGAAGCCGCGCTCCTGGGGATCTTCATGAAGTCGTGGGTCAGGTCCTGGCCAGCCAGGTCCAGACACAGGATGGCGTGGGGCAAGGTGTAGCCCTCGTAGCTGGGCACAGTGTGGGTGGCCCTATACCAAGAGTCCATAACAATACCAGTGGTGTGGCCAGAGGCACACAGGAACAGCACAGCCTGGCTGGCTACGTACATGGCCAAGATGTTGAAGGTCTCGAACATAATCTGAGTTGTCTTCTCACGGTTGGCCTTGGGATTCAGGAGGGGCTCGATCAGCAGCACCGAGTGCTTCTCGGGGGACACATGCACCTTGTTGTAGAGCAGTGGTTCTTAACCTTCTGGCCCTTTAAATACAGTTCCTCACGTTGTGACCCAACCATAAAATTATTTCCGTTGCTACTTCATAACTGGAATGTTGCTACTGTTATGAATCGTAATGTCAATATCTGATATGCAGGATGGTCTTAGGCGACCCCTGTGAAAGGGTCGTTCATCCGCCAAAGGGGTCGCGACCCACAGGTTGAGAACTACTGTTGTACATGGTGTGATGACAGATCCTCTCTATTTCATCCCTATTGGTGATGATGCTATGCTTCATGAGGTATTTCAGGGTAAGGATGCTGCTCTTGCTCTGGGTCTTGTTGCCCACATAGCTGTCCTTCTGCCCCCATGGCCAACCTATGATGCCCTGGTGTCAGGGGCACTTGAGAGTGTGAGGGATCATGACCTAGGGCAGTGATGGCGAACCTATGACACACGTGTTAGAGGTGACAAGCGAACTCATTTTTTTTGGTTGATTTTTCTTTGTTAAATGGCACTTAAATATATAAAATAAATATCAAAAATATAAGTCTTTGTTTTACTATGGTTGCAAATATCAAAAAATTTCTATATGTGACATGACACCAGAGTTAAGTTAGGGTTTTTCAAAAAGCTGACACGCCGAGCTCAAAAGGTTCGCCATCACTGCTCTAGTACTTTAGAATTTCTAAACGTGCCCCTAAATATTCATCTAGTTATAAATGTAATAATAAGAAAAATGGCCCATACCTTTCTAAATTGGGGAATGTATTTCTCATATAGGTTCTTTTCTATGTAAAAAGATATATACATATATATTTTTAACTCATCAGTAAAACAATATTGATATTTAGAATAATAAAAAACCAAGTCAGTATCAGTATTATTTTGCAACACCATTCTGGAAATTTTGAATGATATAGTACGAAAATGAACAAGTAAAACAACCTGTAATTTAAAAAGACACATTATTATTTATGAAAGATTATATGGGGTTTTTTATATTTGTAAAATGGGGAAAAATTTAATATAAACCCAATGCATTCAATTTTAGTAGTCTCACCTCAAGAGAGATTGAGGTTAGTACTAGACCAATTGCTCACATAACTCTGAGTTCTAGACTCCAAGTCAATTAAAAAAGAGACACAAGGCCACATATACATTAAAATATAAATGCTGGCTTATATCTGAAGATGTGTGGAAGTTTCTCCTTGAATTCACAGTCTAAGCAGCCTCCATCTAGAAAGTGGCCTCCACCCACTGTTTTCACCACCCTCATAGGCTGACCACATGGAGGAGGAAAGAACTCTTATCTTAGACAAGAGAGCAGGCAGGTTCTGAGGGAGTCAAAGACTAAAACCACTCCTGAGCTCTCACCAGTTTTCCATCATCTGGTGGAAGAAGAGAAATTGAGAGGAGAAGAGAGAGAGAGATAACTGAGTCAATTAGAGTAGCTGAAAGTAATAACCTAACACTTCTCCCTCTTGGGAAATGTAACATGGAAAATGAAGTTGGGGCGATAAGGGTCTACTGCCGGGAGCCGGTCCATCCTTGCTGTTTCAAGGGACCTGGCATATATGGCATACTGTTCTTAATGTTTGCTCCCCTTCTTGGCACTATGTTTTTTAACCAAGGTCTCCTCTCTGAGAAAGGTTGTTTCCCCAGGTAGGGATTTTCCCCCGAAGTTAGGGAGGGAATAAAACCCCTCAACTAAGTGCCAGGCGGGTAATTAATCACTTTAACTATGAACAATCATGCTTAAGCTACATAATCTTTACTCCCTGGAATGGAGATAAGAAACGCCCTAACCTTTGTAATAGAGATTGATAGGATTGAATCAACTGGTATAAATACAGATGTAACAAGACAGAACTTAGAACACAGAACTTAGAAGACGGAACTTAGAAGACAGAACCTAGAGACAGAAGAACTTCGCTGGAGAGAACATGGCAAAAGATCCTGGACAGAAACTGGCAACAGAACCTAGAGACAGAACCTAGCGAGAGAACATGGCAAAAGATCCTGGACTGAACCTGACTATAGAACATGGCAAGAGAACCTGACTAGAACCTGGTGACTGAACCTGGCTGGAGAACCTAGCGAGGGAACATGGCTACAGAACCTGGCTGGAGAACCTGGAGAACCTAGCAAGAGAACATGGACACAGAACCTGGCTGGAGATCCAGACCAGAACTTGGCTGGAGATCCAGACCAGAACTTGGCTGGAGATCCTGGCTATAGATCCTGGCTAGGCTGCTGATCAACTGAACGCTGTCTCTGTGCCATTCCTTACTCGCCGACTCCGTCCACACCTTTGGGGACCCCTGGACCTGCTGGGGTGGGACCCCGGCAGTCTACTCCAAATCCCCCCTGTTTTCTATAGAACTCCACCTATGTGTGGTCACTCTATAAGGAATGTTGGCAGTTTGGGAAAATTCTCCCCACTGAGAAATAGTCTATCGTGTCTTTACCCAAGGTTGGTATTGTGAAGTAAGGGTTTTTGGATCCAACAAACCTTGTATAATGGATTGAAATGGTCACAAATTACTTGAGGTATTTCTAGTTAAGAAGTGGGGGGTCTAGATCCCCTGCCCTTTTCTTTTTGGACTGGGCCTGTGACTCCCTCTTGACCAACAGAATATGGCAAAATAAGACTATGTAACCTCTGAGGCTACCTCATAAGTCTCTTGGAATTTTCACTCTGGGGTTAGCCAGTTGCATATAGGAAGTCTGACCAGAGAGAGAGAGAGAGAGCAGTGAGAGATCCTGGACGTTCCTGGAGGTGATGGTCACCTTTGTTCAGACATCACACATGTAAATGAGAAAGCAGTGTTGGACATGTCCGATCTGGTATGTAGGAAGAAATGAAGAACTCAACAGCCAGCCAGAACAAAGGCCCGAAACATCTGGCCCAATGAAACTGCCCTAGACATCTTGACGTTTCAAGCCACCCCAGTGGAGGCCTCAATTATTATGAAAATGCAACAAGTTGTCTCCTTTCCTAAAATAGAAGCATGTCATCCTAAAATAGAAACATGACCCAAGACAATTAAAATCTCTGATTTTTTGTTTTTCCATCTTTAAAATGAGAACAAAATACTGGTATCCTCCATATGGCACTGTTGCATCCATTGAATGAAGCAATGCACACAAAGTCCTGAACACAGAACTTGATATGGGACATGCAACAAATTTAACTCTCATATTTCGATAAGCTGTGCCCCTGATAAATGGAAGAGTCATGATGAGAAAGCACCATGACACTGGTAGAATTCATAAATGGAATTCATGCTGAAACCAGAAATGGTCTTGCTGTGGAATTTCAAGGAATTTCCAGATTGCAGCATGCTTTATGGCACCATGGTGATGTTTCTGTCATGCACTTAGCAGTCACCATGGCAATAATCCTCTCATACACTTAGCAGTCGGTGACAGCATTATATTCCAGGATGTGTACCTGCCTTCCCACAGGGTTAGCATGGTCCTTTCATGGGGAAACAGTGACCCTCCTGGGGAAACAATGACCCTCGTTTATTCTGATGGAAGGAAGAAAAAAAGGGGAAGGTGGAAAATAAAGAGGGAAGGAAGGAGAGAGGGAAAGTAGGGAAAGAGGGTTTCCACTAATGAGAGTCATATTCAATTTTGAAAATTCATATTGTTTGTGCATTTAGAACTTGAAAAATGAAGACCATTTTACTCAGTAATTCTCCTCTGGGAATTTACCCAAAAATAAAGTAGAAAAACCTCTATACAAAGAATATTTATTATAGTTAATGCATTAACAAAAGATCAGAAATCGACTGAGATGGTCCACATAAGTAATTTATGTGTAACCTGTTCTGTGGAATAGTGCAATTGTATTAACCATTATACTTATTGAGACTGAGACACAAAGATTAAAAAAATAAAAATTCAGTATCCCTAATAATAAATATAAATATATGAAGTTTTTACACAATCCTTGGAAAGGAATCACAATAGTATCAGTGGTTTTCAAATATTTGTCAAAGTATTGGTAATTTGTTTCATCTTTTTCCTTTCCATATTTCTGAAATTTCTACTGTGAACATGTATATTGATTTTATCTTATAAAAGTATAATCACAACCAAACTCTCTTTTCTTTCACTTAAGTAGTGAGAACTTGTAGAATCATAAAATAGCATATATAAACACGATGAGACAAAATCCTTGGTGAAACATTTTTTTCTCCATAAAACTCATCGCTCATATTTGAGAACCTTTCTGACAGCTTCAATGAAGATGTTAAAAAAAAGTGAAAAGGTATAAAATAGGGGAAAAAAGAGAACTTTTCTCCCTTTCACATCGAGATATGTCTTGGGATAAGTCTTCAGAGAAATTTAGTCTAGCTGCTGATTAATCTTCATTTTTACCACCAGATAAATAACTACATACTGCTGTCAGTAATAGAATGGAATTAAAAAATAAAACCCCATTGAGCATATTCTTGCATACCCCATTATTCATTCACAAGGCATAGTGACATTTGTAAGTTGTTGTTTATCCAGTAAACTCTTGCACAGCCTGTATATCGGGCAGAATCAGAACTTGAAGTTATCCCTACTGCTGGAATCAGATACCTACAACATTATAGGTTCCAGAAAATGGATAGACTTGCTTTCATTGTTCATTCCTATGGTCCTTCTATGCCAAGAATCCTCAATTATCTGATTGTACCTTTCAGAAAAATGTAGATGAATATGTGTAGATAACTTGCTGGCCTGTCCAGGATTTTGACCACCCCTACAGGACTTAATTTTTAGTAGACAAATGTTTGCTGCCAGATTTTAACAACATAATTCTGAGCTTAGCTGTGCTTTTTTTTTTTATCCCCATAAAGTTTACAAATCCTTGGTTGGATGAATGCAAAGATAATCTTTAATGGACATGACTTTTCTTTATATAGGTTGTGCTAAAGATAGAGAGCTTGGTTTTTTCATGGTGTCTCATTTTTAATTTGTTACTACTTTTGAAGGCGTAATGGTTGCCCTGTCCTTTGCAGGGCTGAACTGTCTTTTCTTCTGTGACTATTTAAAGGAGTTTGAGCAATTAGTTTATGCCCAGTGCTCCATACCAAGGTGAAATCATACTTATTCTTGCACAACTAGGTACTCAGGAGCCTGGGGAGAGTTGGATTTGGAAAGTGCCCCATAAAAATCTAATCAGAGACTGGCCTGCGATTTTCACAGGAGAACAGTATTAGACGTTAATCTGTGTTCATGCCACAATGTAATGGGAAACTTTACTGTAGTAAGTCACTTGGAGAAAAAAATGTATTTAGGCACTTGTTACAAATGTGAAAGTGATCATGACAGCATCTCTTTATGAATAAAGACATTTTTCACAGTATTAGCCAGCAACAGTAAGAG